TAGGACCCCAGAGAGACCCCCCACCCCATAGAAACCCCCATAGAGACCCCCGACCCATAGAGAGCCCCACCCCATAGAGAGTCCCCACCCCATAGAGAGTCCCCCACCCCATAGGACCCCAGAGAGACCCCCAAGGCCATAGAAACCCCATAGAGAGACCCTCAACCCCATAGAGACCCCCATAGAGACCCCCCAGCTCAACCGCTCTGACCCCGCCCTGCTCGTCGTGGGGCTGCCCCACAGCCTGAGGTGAGACCCCCAGAGACCCCCCCAGAGACCCCAGAGACCCCCGAGAGACCCCCAGAGACCCCAAACCCCATAGAGAGACCCCCAGAGAGACCCCAACCCCATAGAAACCCCTGAGACCCCCACCCCATAGAGACCCCCACAGACCCCCAGCTCAACCGCTCCGACCCCGCCCTGCTCATCGTGGGGCTGCCCCACAGCGTGAGGTGAGACTCCCAAAGACCCCCACCCCATAGAGACTCCCCAACCCCATAGAGACCCCCAGAGAGACCCCCAACCCCATAGAGACCCCAACCCCATAGAGAGAGCCCCCCAGAGAGACCCCCAACCCCATAGAGACCCCCAACCCCATAGAGAGACCCCCAGAGAGACCCCCACCCCATAGAGACCCCAACCCCATAGGGACCCCCAGAGACCCCTCAACCCCATAGAGACCCCCAACCCCATAGAGACCCCAACCCTATAGGGACTCCCAGAGAACCCAACTCCATAGAGACCCCAGAGACCCCCACCCCATAGACAGACCCCCACCCCATAGAGAGACCCCATAGAGACCCCCAGAGAGACCCCCCACCCCATAGAGAGCCCCAGAGAGACCCCCCAACCCCATAGAGAGACCCCACCCCATAGAGAGACCCCCAACCCCATAGAGAGACCCCCATAGAGACCCCCACCCCATAGAGAGACCCCATAGAGACCCCCAGAGAGACCCCCACCCCATAGAGAGACCCCCAGAGAGACCCCCAACCCCATAGAGAGACCCCCACCCCATAGAGAGACCCCCAACCCCATAGAGAGACCCCCACCCCATAGAGAGACCCCCAACCCCATAGAGAGCCCCCCATAGAGACCCCCACCCCATAGAGAGACCCCCAACCCCATAGAGAGACCCCCAACCCCATAGAGAGACCTCATAAAGACCCCAGAGAGACCCCACCCCATAGAGAGACCCCCAGAGAGACCCCCAACCCCATAGAGAGACCTCCACCCCATAGAGAGACCCCCAACCCCATAGAGAGACCCCATAGAGACCCCCAACCCCATAGAGACCTCCACCCCATAGAGAGACCCCCAACCCCATAGAGACCCCCAGAGAGACCTCCCAACCCCATAGAGAGACCTCCACCCCATAGAGACCTCAGAGACCTCAGAGAGACCCCCAACCCCATAGAGAGACCTCCACCCCATAGAGAGACTCCTCAGAGAGACCCCCAACCCCATAGAGAGACCCCCACCCCATAGAGAGACTCCCAGAGAGACCCCCAACCCCATAGAGAGACCCCCACAGACCCCCCAACCCCACAGAGAGCCCTCACCTATAGAGACCGTCACCCCACAGAGAGACCTCCAGCCCCATAGAGAGACCCCAACCCGTAGAGACCCCCATAGAGACCCCCACCCCATAGAGAGACCCACCCCATAGAGATCCCTCCCAGAGAGAGACCCCCACCCCATAGAGATCCCCACCTCAGAGAGACCCCAACCCCATAGAGAGACTCCCAGAGAGACCCCCACCCTGTAGAGACCCTCACAGACCCTCCCACCCCACAGCACCAGATGAGACCCCACAGAGACCCCCACCCCAGAGAGAGACCCTCCCTGCCTCACAGCACCAGGGGAGACCCTCCAGAGCCCCCCCAGGACCCCTCGTCCCATAAGAGACCCCCTGGGACCTCCTCAGAGCCCCCAGGACCCCCTGTCCCATAGGGGACCCCTGGGACCTCCCCAGAGCCCCCATAGCCCCCCTGCCCCATAGGGGACCCCTGGGACCCCTCAGAGCCCCCCATAGCCCCCTGCCCCATAGGGACCCCTGGGACCCCCAGAGCCCCCAGGACCCCCCTGCCCCATAGGGGACCCTGGGACCCCAGAGCCCCCCAGGACCCCCTGCCCCATAGGGGACCCCCAGAGCCCCCAGGACCCCCCTGACCCATGGGGACCCCCAGAGCCCCCCAGAGCCCCCCTGCTCCCATAGGGGACCCCTGGGAGCCCCCAGAGCCCCCCCTGCCCCATAGGGGACCCCCAGAGCTCCCCAGGACCCCCTGCCCCATAGGGGACCCCTGGGACCCCCATAGCTCCCCTGCCCCATAGGGGACTCCCAGAGCCTCCAGAGCCCCCTGCCCATAGGGGACCCCAGAGCCCCCCCAGAGCCCCCTGCCCCATAGGGGACCCTCAGAGCCCCCAGAGCCCCCTGCTCCATAGGGGACCCCCAGAGCCCCCAGGACCCCCTGACCCATAGGGGACCCCCAGAGCTCCCCAGGACCCCCTGCTCCATAGGGGACTCCCAGAGCCCCCAGGACCCCCTGACCCATAGGGGACCCCCTGGGACCCCCAGACCCTAGGACCCCCTGACCTCCCTTCTCTGTCCCCCCAGCTCTGGGCTGATGGATCCCCGGGAGGTGCTGACCAGTAACGGTGAGTGAGGGCAACTGGGAGCACTGGGAGGGGTCTGGGGTCACCCTGGAGGGTCTCTGTGAGGCTGAGGGGTCTCTGTGGGGTGGGGAGGGTCTCTAGGGGTGGGGAGGGGTCTCTGTGGGTCTGGGGAGTCTCTGTAGGGTAGGGAGGGGTCTCTGTGGGGTGGGAGGGGTCTCTGTGGGTCTGGGGAGTCTCTGTAGGGTGGGGAGGGGTCTCTGTGGGGTGGCTGTGAGGGTCTCTGTGGGGCTGGGGGTCTCTATAGGGTGAGGAGGGGTCTCTGTGGGGCTGGGGGTCTCTATGGGGTGGGGAGGGGTCTCTGTGGGGCTGGGGGGTCTCTGTGGGTGGGAGGGGTCTCTGTGGGGCTGGGGTGTCTCTATGGGGTGGGGAGGGTCTCTGTGGGGCTGGGGGTCTCTGTGGTGGGAGGGGTCTCTGTGGGTCTGGGGGTGTCTCTGTGGGGTGTGGGAGGGTCTCTGTGGGTCTGGGGGTCTCTATGGGTGTGGGAGGGTCTCTGTGGGTCTGGGAGGGGTCTCTGTGGGGCTGGGGGTCTCTGTAGGTGTGGAGGGGTCTCTGTGGGTCTGGGGGTCTCTGTGGGGTCGTGGGGGGGTCTCTGTGGGGCTGGGGGTCTCTATAGGTGGGAGGGGCTCTGTGGGTCTGGGGGTCTCTGTGGGTGTGGAGGGGTCTCTGTGGGTCAGGGGGTCTCTGTGGGTGTGGGAGGGGTCTCTGTGGGTCTGGGGGTGTCTCTGTGGGGCTGGGGGGTCTCTATAGGGTGGGGAGGGGTCTCTGTGGGTCTGGGGGGTCTCTGTGGGGCTGGGGGGTCTCTGTGGGTTTTGGGGTCTCTGTGGGTTTGGGGGGTCTCTGTGGGGTTTGGGGGTCTCTGTGGGTTTGGGGGTCTCTGTGGGTCTTGGGGGTCTCTGAGGGTTTGGGGGTCTCTGTGGGTTCTGGGGTCTCTGTGGGGTGGTTTTGGGGGTCTCTGTGGGGTTTGGGGGTCTCTGTGGGGTTTTGGGGGTCTCTGTGGGGAGGTTCTGGGGGTCTCTGAGGGGTTTGGGGGGTCTCTGTGGGGTTTTTGGGGGTCTATGTGGTTTGGGGGTCTCTGTGGGGTTTGGGGGTCTCTATGGGGTGGTTTTGGGGTCTCTGTGGGGTTTTGGGGGTCTCTGTGGGTTTTGGGGGTCTCTGTGGGTTTTTGGGGTCTCTGTGGGGCGTGGGTTTGGGGTCTCTGTGGGGTGGGTTTCTGGGGTCTCTGTGGGGTGGTTTGGGGGTCTCTGTGGGTTTTTGGGGTCTCTGTGGGTTTTTGGGGTCTCTGTGGGGCGGGGTTGGGGTCTCTGTGGGGTGATTCGGGGTCTCTGAGGGGTTTTGGGGTCTCTGTGGGTGGTTTTGGGGTCTGTGAGGGTTTTTGATGGTCTCTGTGGGTTTTTGGGGGTCTCTATGGGTGGTTTGGGGTCTCTGTGGGGTGGTTTTGGGGTCTCTGTGGGGTTTTGGGGTCTCTGTGGGGTTTTGGGGGTCTCTGTGGGTTTTGGGGTCTCTGAGGGGTGGTTTGGGGTCCTCTGACCTGGGTTCCCAGATGGGTGCTGGGGAGGGCTGTGGGGTGGTTTTGGGGTCTCTGTGGGTTTTTGGGGTCTCTGTGGGATTTTGGGGGTCTCTGTGGGGTGGTTTGGGGGTCTCTATGGGGTGGTTTTGGGGTCTCTATGGGGTTTTGGGGTCTCTGTGGGGTTTTGGGGTCTCTGTGGGTTTTTGGGGTCTCTATGGGGTGGTTTGGGGTCTCTGTGGGGTGGTTTGGGGTCTCTGAGGGTTTGGGGTCCTGACTCCTTTCCAGATGCGGTGCTGGGGAGGGGCTGTATGGGTGGGTTTTGGGGTCTCTGTGGGTTTTGGGGTCTCTGTGGGGTGGTTTTGGGGTCTCTGAGGGTTTTTATGGTCTCTGTGGGTTTTTGGGGTCTCTATGGGGTGGTTTTGGGGTCTCTATGGGGTTTTGGGGTCTCTGTGGGGTGGTTTTGGGGTCTCTGTGGGGTTTTGGGGTCTGTGGGGTGGTTTTGGGGTCTCTGTGGGGTGGTTTTGGGGTCTCTGTGGGTTTTTGGGGTCTCTGTGGGGTGGTTTTGGGGTCTCTGTGGGGTTTTGGGGTCTCTGAGGGGTTTTGGGGTCTCTGTGGGGTGGTTTTGGGGTCTCTGAGGGGTGGTTTTGGGGTCTCTGTGGGGTTTTGGGGTCTCTGTGGGGTTTTGGGTGCTCTGCTCCCCAGATGCTGTGCTGGGGAGGCTGCTGTGGGGTGGTTTGGGGGTCTCTGTGGGGTTTTGGGGTCCCCAGTGCGGTGCTGGGGAGGGGCTGTGGGGGGGTTTGGGGTCTCTGGGGGTGGTTTTGGGGTCTGTGTGGGGTGGTTTGGGGTCTCTGTGGGGTTTTGGGGTCTCCCAGGCGCGGTGCTGGGGAGGGGCTGTGTGGGCGGGTTTGGGGTCTCTGTGGGGTGGCTTTGGGGTCTGTGTGGGTGGTTTTGGGGTCTCTGTGGGGTGGTTTTGGGGTCTCTGTGGGGTTTTTGGGGTCTCTGTGGGGTTTGGGGTCTCTGTGGGGTTTTGGGGTCTCTGTGGGGTGGTTTTTGGGGTCTGTGTGGGTTTTTGGGGTCTCTGTGGGGTTTTGGGGTCTCTGAGGGGTTTTGGGGTCTCTGTGGGGTTTTGGGGTCTCTGTGGGTTTTTGGGGTCTCTGTGGGGTTTTGGGGTCTCTGTGGGGTGGAGGGGTCTCTGTGGGGTTTTGGGGTCTCTGTGGGGTGGAGGGGTCTCCTGGGGGTGGTTTTGGGGTCTGTGTGGGGTGGTTTTGGGGTCTCTGAAGGGTTTTGGGGTCCCCCAGACGCGGTGCTGGGGAGGGGCTGTGTGGGGCGGGTTTGGGGGTCTCTGTGGCACAGGGAGGTGTTTCTATAGGACAGGGGGGTCTGTGTGAGGTGGTTTTGGGGTCTGTGTGGGGTGGTTTTGGGGTCTCTGAGGGTTTTGGGGTCCCCCCAGATGCGGTGCTGGGGGAGGTGCTGTATGGGGTCGGTTTTTGGGGTCTCTGTGAGGTGGTTTCAGGGTCTCTGAGGGGTTTTGGGGTCCCCCTGACTTGCCTTTTTCCCCCAGATGCGGTGCTGGGGGAGGTGCTGTATGGGGTGGGTTTTTGGGGTCTCTGTGGGGTTTTGGGGTCTCTGTGGGGTGGTTTTGGGGTCTCTGTGGGGTTTTGGGGTCCCTGAGGGGTTTTGGGGTCTCTGTGGGTGTTTGGGCTCTCTATGGGTTTTTGGGGTCTCTGTGGGTTTTGGGGTCTCTGTGGGGTGGTTTTGGGGTCTCTGAGGGTTTTGGGGTCCCCCTGACCCCCTTTTTCCCAGATGCGGTGCTGGGGGAGGGGCTGTATGGGGTGGGTTTTGGGGTCTCTGTGGGGTGGGGGGGTCTCTATGGGGTGGTTTTGGGGTCTCTTTGGGGTGCCCCTGACCCCCTTTCCCCCCCCCAGACGCGGTGCTGGGGGAGGTGCTGCGGGTGCTGCAGGAGGAGCAGTTGCCCTACACGGCCCTGTTCACCGCCCGCAGACCCTCCCGGGTGAGTCGGGACCCCCAAAACGACCCCCCCGGGACCCCAAAACGACCCCAAAGTGACCCCCAAAGTGACCCCCAAAATGACCCCAGAGTGACCCCAAAGTGACCCCCAAAGTGACCCCCGAAATGACTCCAAAGTGATTTCCAAAATGACCCCACAGGACCCTCAAAATGACCCCAGAGTGACCCCCAAAGTGACCCCCCAGGACCCCCGAAATGACCCCAGAGTGACCCCCAAAGTGACCCCCAAAATGACTCCAAAGTGACCCCCAAAATGACTCCAAAGTGATTTCCAAAATGACCCCCCCAGGACCCCCAGAATGACCCCAGAGTGACCCCCAAAGTGACCCCCGGACCCCTAAACGACCCCCAGGGACCCCCATAACTCCCAAAGTGACCCCCAGGGACCCCTAAAATGACCTCAGTGTCCCCCAGAACTCCCAAAGTGACCCCCAGGGACCCCAAAGTGTCCCCCAGGACCCCCTAAAAGACCCTACAGTGACCCCCCCGGGAACCCCTAAAATGACCCCAGAGTGACCCCAAAGTGACCCCCAAAACGACCCCAAAGTGACCCCAGAGTGACCCCCTAAAACGACCCCAGAGTGACCCCCAAAACGACTCCAAAGTGACCTCCAAAACGACCCCCCAGGGACCCCCCAGGACCCTCAAAGTGACCCCAGAGTGACCCCCAAAGTGATGTCAAAGTGACCCCCTAAAACTGCATTATAGGGACCCCCAAAGTAACCCCTAAAATGACCCCCAGAGACCCCCAAAATGACCCCCAGGACCCCAAAATGAACCCCCAGGGACCCCCAAAGGGACCCCCAAAATGACCCCCCAGGACCCCTAAGGTGAGCCCTAAAACGACCCCCAGAGACCCCCAAAATGACCCCCCAGGACCCCCAAAATGAACCCCCCCAGGGACCCCCAAAGGGACCCCCAAAATGACCCCCCAGGACCCCCAAGGTGAGCCCTAAACGACCCCCAGAGACCCCCAAATGACCCCAGGACCCCAAAGTGACCCCTGCAGTGATCCCAGAGTTTCCCCTTAACTCCCCCAAATTTTGTCCCACTTCCCCCAAATTTTGGGAGTCTCCAACCCCTTCCCCCTTAACCGCCCCAAATTTTAGCTCCCCTCCCCAAATTTCAAGCCCCTCCCTCACCCTCTTTTCCCCTCTTAACCCCCAAATTTCAGGCTCCCCTCGACCCCCTTTCCCCCCTTAACCCCCCAAATTTTGTCCCCCTCCCCAAATTCTCATCCCCTTCCCCCTTAACCCCCTAAATTTCGGGCCCTCCCCAAATTTCATCCCCCTTTCCCCCTTAACCCCTAAATTTCGGGCCCCTCCCCAGAATTTCAAGCTCCTCCCTCACCCTCTTTTCCCCTCTTAACCCCCAAATTTTGGGCTCCCCAATCCCCTTTTCCCCCCTTAACCCCTCAAATTTTAGCTCCCTCCCCAAATTTCAAGCCCCTCCCTCACTCTCTTCCCCCCTAACCCCCAAATTTCAGGCTCCTCCCTCATTTCCCCTCCCAAATCCTCTCCCCCCTCCCCAAATTTCAAGCCCCTCCCTTACCCCTTTCCCCCCTTAACCCCCCAAATTTCAGGCCCTCCCCAAACTTCAAGCCCCTCCCTCACCCCCTTTCCTCTCCTTAACCCCCAAATTCTCTCCCCCTCCCCAAATTTCAAGCTCCTCCTCACCCCCTTCCCTCTTAACCCCCAAATTTTAGCCACCCCTCCCAAATTTCAAGCTCCTCCCTCACCCTCTTTTTCCCCTCTTAACCCCCCAAATTTTGGGCTCCCCCAACTCCCTTAACCCCCCAAATTTCAGGCCCTCCTGACCCCTTTTTATCCCCCTTAATCCCCCAAATTTTAGCTCCCCTCCCCAGGCTTCACCCCCCCACCCCCTTCCTCTCTTAACCCCTCAAATTTCAGCCCTCCCCAAATTTCACCCCCACCCCTTTCCTTCTTCTTCTTAACCCCCAATTTCAGCTCCCCTCCCCAAATCTCACTCCCCACCCCTTTCCCTCTCCCAACCCCCCAAATTTTAGTCTCCCTCCCAACTTCCCTCTCACTCCCCTTTCCTCCTCTTTCCCCCAAATTTTAGCTCCCCCTCCCCCAAATTTCAAGCCTCTCCCTCACCCCCTTTCCTCCTCTTAACCCCCAAATCCTCTCCTCCCTCCCCAAGCCTCAAGCCCCCTCACCCCCTTTCTCCCCTCCCCTCTGTGCTTCCAGGCCCCCTCCGCTGCCCGGGGGCCCCGGGATTTTGGGGTCTCCCAGCGGGCCCTGCTGGGCCGGGAGGAGGAGGGTCCTGAGGAGCCCCCGCTGCGCTGGGCCTCTCAGGGACCCCCAAAATCCTCCCATGGGCCCGGGAACTTCTCGGTGTCCTTCAAAGGGCAGGGCCGGGACCTCACCCCCTCACCTTCGGGGAGGGCCGACGTCGACACCGGGGGTCCTCCTGGGACCCCTAAGAGGCTCAGTGAGAGGGGCGGGGAACCTTTAGAGGGTCAAGGCTTGGGAGTGATTTCAGGGAGTTTTAGGGGTCTTGGGGACTTGAGGATCTGGGGGACTTTTGGAAGCTTGAGAGGTTTGGGGGCTGGGATCTAAATTGAGGGGCTTGAGGAGCTTGGGGGAGTTTGGGGGTTTGGGGGAACTTTTGGGGGTCTTGAGGAGATCTGGGAATCAAAAGCAGCCTTGGGGGAGTTTTAGGGGATTAGGGTATCTTTGAGGGCTTTGGGGACTTTGGGGAGGGTTGGAGGAGTTTTGGGGGTTTGGGGAGTCTGGGGAGGCTTGGGAGGAATTGGGGTGGTTTTGGGGGAATTTGAGGCAGTTTTGGGGGAGTTTTAGGGGGATTTGGGGGCTTTGAGGGATCTGGGGGATTTTGAGGGGCTTTGGGGGCTGGGGATTTGGGGGGCTTGAGGGGCTTGGGGAGTTTGGGGGATTTGGGGTTTGGGGGAATTTTGGGGGTTTTGAGGGGTTTGGGGGATTTTGGGAGAGTTTTGGGAGGTTTGAGGATCTGGGGGATTTTGGGGGTTTGGGGGTTTTGAGGGGTTTGGGGAGGTTTGGTGGAATTTGGGGCAGTTTTGGGGTAGTTTGAGGGGGATTTGGGGAGCTTGAGGGGATCTGGGGCTTTGAGGGGTCTGGGGAGGGTTTGGGGAGATTTGAGGATCTGGGGGATTTTGGGGGGTTGAGGAGATTTGGGGGTTTGAGGGGATCTGGGGATTTGGGGGGAGATTTGAGGGGGTTTGTGGGATTTTGGGAGAGTTTTGGGGGATTTGGGGGACTGGAGAAGGTTTAGGGGACTTTTGGGGGGTCTTGAGGGTCTTGAGGGGTTTGGGGAATTTGGGGTAGTTTTAGGGGATTTTGGGGATTTGAGGGGTTTGGGGGCTTTAGGGGGTTTGGGGAGTTTTAGGGGATTTTGGGGAGTTTGAGGATCTTGGGGGATTTAGGGGTTTTGAGGGGTTTGAGGAGGGATTTTGGGGAAGGTTGAGGGAGTTTTGGGGTTTGGGAGTTTTGGGGAGGTTTGGGAGGAATTGAGGTGGTTTTTGGGGAATTTGGGGCTGTTTTGGAGTTTTAGGATTTGGGGGTTTGAGGGGATCTGGGGGATTTGAGGGGGTTTGGGGGATTTAAGGAGATTTTGAGGGGATTTAAGGTGAATTTTGGGGGATTTAAAGTGGATTTTGGGGGATTTGAGGAGTTTGGGGATTTAAAGTGGATTTTGGGGGATTTGAGGAGTTTTTGGGGGGATTTAAAGTGGATTTTGGGGGATTTGAGGAGTTTTTGGGGATTTAAAGTGGATTTGGGGGATTTGAGGAGCTTTTGGGGGATTTAAAGTGGATTTTGGGGATTTGAGGGTTTTTGAGGGGATTTAAAGTGGATTTTGGGGGATTTGAGGGTTTTTTGGGGGAGGATTTGAGGGGTTTTGGGGAGATTTTGGTGGGGACTTGGGGGTTTGAGGTCCCCCCAAATTTGGGGTCTCTCTGACCCTCCCTTCCCCTGCCCCTCCCCCAGGCTGGTCCTTAAATACAAAGAGGTTTTGGGCCCCCTGAACATCACGTGAGTTGGGGGATTTGGGGGATTTTGGGGGTCCTGGGGGTTTGGGGTCCCTGGGGGTCACAGAAATTGGGGGTCCTTTGGAGTGGGGGTGGATTTGGGATCCCTGAGCCCCCAAGGGAGGATTTGGGGGAAGGGAAGAATTTGAGGGTTTTTTGGGGGAGGGGCTGATTTTTGGGGTCTCTTCCCTCCCCCAAGAGTGTTTTTTTTGGGGGGCCTCAGTTTTTGGGTGGGTGGGATCCCAATTTTAGGCTCGTTTTGGGGCTTATTTTTGGGGGTGGGGTCTCATTTTAACCCTCCATTTTTAACCTCCATTTTTTGGGGGTGGGGTCTCATTTTAAACCCCATTTTTGGGGGAGTGGATCTCATTTAAACTCCCATTTTAACTCCCATTTTTGGGGGTGGGGGCTCATTTAAACCCCCATTTTGGGGGATGGGATCTCATTTTAAACCCCATTTTAACCCCTATTTTTGGGGGTGGGATCCTCATTTAAGGCCTTTGGGGTGGTCTCATTTAACGCTCATTTTTGGGAGTGGGGCTCGCTTTAACCCCCATTTTGAGGGGGGGCCCATTTGAAGCTCATTTTTGGGGGTGGGGCTCATTTTAAGGCTCATTTTTGAGGGGGTGGGGCTCATTTTAACCCCAATTTGGGGGGTGGGGGCTCTATTGTAACCCCCATTTTTGGAGGGTGTGGGATCCCCATTTTGGGGGGGTGGGGGCTCATTTTAAACCCCATTTTTGGGGGTGTGGGATCTCATTTTAACCCCATTGTAACCCCCATTTTTGGGGGTTGGGGTCTCATTGTAACCCCCATTTTTGGGGGGTGGGGTCTCATTTTAACCCCATTTTAACCCCCGTTTTTGGGGGGTGGGATCTCATTTGAATCCCCATTTTTAGGGGTGCGGGATCCTCTCCCCTGGGGAGGTTTTGGCCCCCATTTCGGGGGTGGGGGCTCATTTTAACCCCCATTTTTGGGGGGTTGGGATCTCATTTTAACCCCCATTTTTGGGGGGTGGGATCTCATTTTAACCCCATTTTTGGGGGTTGGGATCCCCATATTTTGGGGGATGGGGGTTCCTTTTAAACCCCCATTTTTAGGGGTGCAGGATCCCCTCCCGGGGGGGGTTTTGGCCCCCATTTCGGGGGTCCCTGACCCCCCCCGTGCCCCCCCCAGGCTGGTTCTTCGCCGTTCGTGGTTCCCGGTGTCGGGGCGCTCGTGGGCGTGGCTGGCCGAGGTGGGCGTGGCCCTGGGCGGGGCCCCCCCCGCGCGCTTTGGGGGTCGCGGGGGGGCCGCCCCTTCCCCCCTGGGCTGGCGCTGCGGGGAATTGGGGGCTCCGGGGCCCTTCCTGCTGCCCCTCCCCCCACCGGAGACCACCCAGCACTGGGGGCTCCTCCTGAGGGACGTGCAGGTAAAGATTGGGGGACCCCAAATATTGGGGGGACCCCAAATATTGGGGGAGGCCTCAAAATTCGGGGGAGCACCCTAAAATATGGGGGAGACACTCCTAAAATATTGGGGAAACACCTCAAAATATGGGGGAGACACCTCAAATATTGGGGGACACCTAAAATATTGGGGGAGAGCACCCTAAAATATTGGGAGAACCTCAAATATTGGGGGAACCTCAAATATTGGGGGGGGAGCACCCTAAAATATGGGGGGGGCACCTCCTAAAATTTGGGGAGAGCACCCCAAAATATTGGGGGGGGGAACCCCAAAATATTGGGGAGGGGAGCACCCTAAAATATGGGGGGGGAACCCCAAATATTGGAGGAGAGCACCTAAAATATGGGGAGCACTCCTAAAATATGGGGGAACCCCAAAATATTGGGGGAGCACCCTAAAATATGGGGGGGAACCCCAAATATTGGGGGGGAGCACCCTAAAATATGGGGGGGAACCCCAAATATGGGGGAGAGCACCCTAAAATATGGGGGAACCCCAAAATATTGGGGGAACCCCAAAATATTGGGGAGCACCCTAAAATATGGGGGAGCCCCAAAATATTGAGGGGGAACCTCAAATATTGGGGTGAGCACCCTAAAATATGGGGGAACCCCAAATATTGGGGGAAACAAAAATATTATGGGGGGCACCCCAAAATATTGGGGGAAAAACACCCTAAAATATGGGGGGGAACCCCAAAATATTGAGGGAAACCACCTAAATATGGGGGAACCCTAAAATTTTGGGGGCAAACCTCAAAATGGGGAGGCTCTGAATAGGGGGGCACAAAAATATGGGGATCACCCCAAAATATGGGGAGGGGTCACCCCAAAATATTGGGGGAAAACCACCCTAAAATATGGGGGGGACACCTCAAAATATGGAGGGTAACGAGCACCCTGAAAATATGGGGGCACCTCATGGGAGGTCTGAGGGGCTCTCAGAATACTTGGGGGAACCCCAAACCACTTGGGAGGGTCTCAAATTCTGAGTGCAGAGGATTGAGGGAGTTTGGGGGGGTCCTGGGGGGGTATTTTGAGGGGTTTTTTGGGGGTCTCAGATAATTTTGGGGTTCTCCCCCCCCCTTTTCTCTCCCCCCAGGTCCAAGCATTCAACGTGTCCAGGGGGTCTTTGGGGGGTTTATTAGGGGGTCCTGGGGGTATTTTGGGGGGCTTTTTTGGGGTCTCAGATAATTTTGGGGTGCTCACCCCCCCTTTTCTCTCCCCAGGTCAGGCATTCAACGTGTCCAGGGGGGGCTTTATGGGGTCCTGGTGAGGGATTTGAGGGGATTTTTGGGGGTCTCAGATAATTTTGGGGTTCTCACCCCCCCTTTTCTCTCCCCCCCCCAGGTCCAGGCATTCAACGTGTCCGGGGGGGGTCTTTGGGGGGATTATCTGGGGTGGTTTTGGGGGTGGATTTTGGGGGCTTTTTGGGGTCTCAGATAATTTTGGGGTTCTCACCCCCCCTTTTCTCTCTCCCCCCCAGTTTAGCCGTTCAACGTGTCCAGGGGGAGTTTTGGGGGGGTCCTGGGGGATATTTTGAGGGGTTTTTGGGGGTCTCAGATAATTTTAGGGTTCTCACCCCCTTTTCTCTCCCCCCAGGTCCAGGCATTCACCATGTCCGGGGGTCTTTGAGGGGGTCCTGGGGGTTTTTAGGGGGTCCTGGGGTATTTTGAGGGGCTCTTTGAGGGTCTCAGATAATTTTGGGTTCTCACCCCCCTTTTCTCTCCCCAGGTCCAGGCGTTCAACGTGTCCAGGGG